AAACAAATTGCTTTTGAATGATAAGAATACAAAAGGTAAGAGATTTGTCTTCTAAAAAGTTTGTTCCATAGACTGCATCTTTTTACTTCAAATAGAAAAATCAGAACATTTGGAAAACCCTGACTTGAAGGGTGGTAGGAGAAAGAAGCAGAGAGAGGAATTTGGAAAGAGAAGGGCAGGGGAAAGAGGCATACGAAGTGGGAAAAGTTTGGGCAGTACAGTACGGAACAGAGTGGGGATGTAGATAGAAGAAGAAAATGGCAAGAAACAGAGGATGGAGGAGGAAGATAAAGCCAGCAGAAAAAAACTGGGTGGGGGCCAGTTGCTATGAGTAATAGTCTGGCATCCTGGCATACTGGAGAGTCGGGTGTTAGGCTGTCTGGAGTGACTCAGAACTGTGAGTGCCTGCCTCAGGGAAGACTGTCAGAAAACAGGGCAGACACCATAACCTGGTGTTGTATTCTATAATTAGAATTCACCAAGCCAGTAACAAATGTGAACTCCTGGATCAATATACCAGTTTTACCATGGGGTGACAGACAGTCCCCTTAGACTCTCCAGGCTATCTTGCCACCCAGTCAAACTGGACTTAGTGATAAAATGTCACTTACGTAAAAAATCACACCATATTTAGGTTGCTTCCAGTCACTTTACCACAGATCAGTTGGTACCCTAGATCTTATAATGAAGACAATGTTGACAGCCAGTTCTATAATAAACTAACTAAAGGTTTATTATGTAAGAAAAGGAAATAAGAGTTATTGAGAGGTTAAAGCAGGTAAAATATATGTACAGGTGAGTCACAATCTATAATTCCAAATGGTAGCAGAGATATAGTAACCTGCCAGTTTCCGATCAGTCTGTCAGGGCTACACAGAATAACTCTGGGGGTCTCTGTCTTCTCGTTCGTTTATTCCACCCTGTTAGAATCCAAACAGTCCAGAGATGAAGGATCTTTCCTTGAATCCATTCTTGTAGCTTCTTTTCACAGAAAACTGGATGACAGGGTCACTACCCATGTGGGCTCTTACTTTGATGATAGAGAGAGAGGAATGCATTTCTAGTCCTTGACCTCTGATCATCACACGCAATGACCACTTGCTTTGAAATTAGCACTTTTCTGTTGAAGTTCTTCATTTGCATACCACAAGGCTGCTTTCTTGTTTGATGGGTTATTTAGTTACAGGGGTATACACAATGTCAATGTTTTATGCAGACAGGAGCTTCTCCCGTCAGTGTAGGTACTCCACTTCCCCAAGAAGCAGTAGCTACGTTGACAGGAGAAGCCCTCCTGTCAACATGGTGCTGTCTACACCAGAAGTTAGATCGGTATAACTGCATTACTCAGGGGTGTGAATTTTCTACACTTAAGTTTGTAGTGTAGCCAAAGACTAAGGTCTTGTCTACACTTACATTTTATGAAAAATCACCCCCTGAGCTCAGCAAGTCAGAGCGCTTTAAAGTGCTAGTGTTGACAGGCTCTGAGCACTGGGAGCCGTGCTCCCAGCGCTCGGCGCTAATCCCCTTGTGGAGGTGGATTACCAGAAGCGCTGGGAGACCTCTCTCCCAGCACTTGTGTGCAGCCGCACTCGCACTTCAAAGCGCTGCTGTGGGAGTGTTCCCGTGACAGCGCTTTGAAGTTTCCATGAGTAGCCATGCCCTCAGGCTCAACATATGTGACACCTGTGGAGTTTCAAGAGGGAGGGTTAAACAATGATTGGCCATCTGTCCAAACAAAGAAAGCTCATGAAGGGAACTACTGGCCATTGTGGAAGCCCTTCACCATCAGTAACCTTCAGAGAAAAAGCGAAGGACTATTTTAAGGATAGTAATCAGTTTCTTTGAGTCACAAGTGTGACCTGCATAATTTATTTTAAAAATCACTCTAAAAGACACTACAGGAATGGCAGGCCATTTAATTAGAGAGAAACTGTGGCTTTAGGAGGAAATGATTGAATTTCAGATCATGGCTAGGCGTAGCCAGGGAAAATTCATGATGTAATGTGGTATAGTGTAAGCGACTTTGAGTCTGTTTGAAAAAAATTTGCTGAACGTCGTGCAGTTCCTTTGCTATGCTATTCATGCAAATACTCATAACATCAGAGCACCTGGATATGGGCAATGATGTATGAAGGCTTCCAGAAGTGATCCACCATCTCCCCAGCATCAACCTCACTGCCAGCTTGACAGGAGCCTGAATGTCATGCCTAATTTGCATATTGTTTCACCTAAATTAAATTTATCATCCCCAGTGATTTTACAGTATACAGCTCACACCTATGACTAAATAAAACAGTTTACTGTCCTTAACATGATGTCTTGGTGCTTTCTCTCCTGTTTCCCTCTCCTTGTTTCTCTATCCTTCCATCTCCTGCTTTCATTCTGTTGTTATCACCATAATACTTTGATGTTACCGTCCTCTCATTCTGTTGTGCTGTTCCCTTTTTATTAGGTTCTCTCCTGTTTCTTCCCTCTCATCTCTGTGCCTTTCCATATTTTTCCCACTCTGGTCCCCTTCCCCATTTCCTCCATTTTTTCTCCTCTCTCATCTCTTTCTTTCTGATCCCTACTCTTCTTCCTTTTGCATTTGCATTGGTCTTCTGACTGTAATTTCTTCTGCTCCTGCTCCCAATCACTTTCCGTCTGGCAAACACATGCCCCTGTTGAGGACTGGTATTTTTTCTTAGATGCCCCAGCTGCTGCCCAAGTTTCAGTGTAGTCCCCTGAAGAACAGGGTTTTCAGATCTGCTGCTCTGACCTTTCACACTTTCTTTGGGGAAGAGGGGTATTAGCCAGATGTGGGAAGGAGCAACCGTCTTGGTTGTCTGTGGGTTGTGCATCAGAAAGCTTGCATTTTATGTTGCTGTTTCATAAGGTTGAGCCCCTTTTCTGGTAACAAATGTGCCGAAGAATCATGCCAACTAGAGCTTTTTATGATCTATAAAGACAAAGAGCAGACCGAGGCTGCAGAAATGGATACAGCATACAAGCAAACACATGGGGGTAATGATGGCCATGTGTCTTGTTAGTTTTATTCATTCATGTACAGTGTGTATTTATTTAAGGTCCGTTTGTTTATGGGAGAGGACATTATTAGGCTAGGGGTGGGGACAAGGAATGGTGGTAAGGGTGAGCTTGTGGACCCAAAGCGTAGGGAGAAGTTCAGTTGGAAAGGAGGAGGAAGGAAGGGGGAAATGGAAGAGTGGAATGACAAAGAAGGTGTGTGGGTGGGAGGTGGAGGGGATGCTCTGAAGGCTGGGGTTCAAAGGAGCGTGGTAGCTGAGGAGAGAGTGTGGGCCTGAAACAGAGGGAGTTGAGAAGAGGCAGGGACAATCAACAAAAGGAGAATGTGATAAGAGTTCAACTTTGATTCCAGTGAGTCTCAGGTGTCTGGCTGGGGTGTGAAGGCCAAACAGCTGCTTCTGTTTCTCCTTAGAGGAGCTCCAAGGGGTGGACAGGTCATCTCTGGAGATCCTCCCATTGTTGCTGGTAGAGCTGGTGCTAGGCATAAGCAGACTAAGGCCCCGAGCAGCTTGGGCCCTGAGCAGCTCATGGGCTCCCCCTCTTCGCCTTTTTAGTATGTCTTTGGGGATGGGGGTGGATATTCCTGTTTGGAAATGGGCCTCCACATGGGCTGGGCAACAGGTGACCACTAGGACCCTAAATCGACTGGAAGTTGATCAGGAAAAAGGTTAATGAGGCCATATTAATACCCCTGTTCTATTAGTAGGGTTGCTGCTGTAGGAGTAAGGGAGAGGATGCATAGAACCGAGAAATGGTACCTTTAGATGGGCTGCATGATTACAGTTTCTAAGGGACCAGTAGGAATTGCAGTAGTAGTATTTTGAGGCCCAGGTGGCTTGCTTCAAAGCATTGACTCTTATGTAATTACATATGATTATATTATATGTGCATCAAATACAGCGACTGTTAATCTTTTTGAAGGGTAAAAGCAAGAAACTGAATGTGTTGAAATATAATTTCATTTTAGAATAAAGGTGATTCTTAGAACTGTGTGGCGCTATTTAAGTAAAATGCATTAAAGTACATTTTAATAGGTCTGTTTCCCCCAGTGAATCAGAAGTATATGGTGGTTTAATTGCCATTAGATTTGAATCAAAGGAAGAATACACCACTAAATACATGTCTTCATTCCTTGCCCTCCCCTTAAAGCTCATCTTTATTATTCCTTTGTGATAATAACACACATGCAGAGCTAGTCCTCCAGTAAATCAATCCCTCCTACAAAAAGCCTCCCAAAAAGACACAACAGATGGAGCTGGATCAAAAGAAGCTAATATTTCTTGGGAGAAGATGTCTATTGAAGAATATGATAAATTGGAGAAATATACTAGGCTGTTTGTTTGGGTTTATGTTGTTTGTTTTACAAAGCCATTTTGCATGCTAGCCTTCCTCATTTAACTGATTACAGTGCTTCAACTTATCTTGTTTAGTTCCTGTTAAGTTTTGTGTGTCCAGATTCAAATGTCAATTTTCCCTTTCGGTTTAAATATAGATAACAAAGGAGACCCACCCGTCCAGAAGCAATCACACCTTTGAGAAATGTTATTTTGAGCAAGTTGTTTGCCTAGCTGCTGTTTGGATTATTATTAAGGCTAAGATATTCTCATGGCTATTTTTAGTAAAAGTCAGGGACAGGTCATGGGCAATAAAGAAAAATTCACAGAAGCCTTTGACCCATCCCTGACATTTACTAAAAATATCCATGATAAAATGGGAAGGGTTGGGCAGCTGCAGGGTGGCTGAGAGCTCTGGGGCCCCCCACCATCCATTGGGGCTCAGAACTCCAGGGTCCCCCTGCTGCCCATGGCTGCTTGGAGCTTGGGGGTCTGTTGCCTCCGGGACTGACGTCACGGAGGTCTTTGGAAGTCACAGATTCTGTGAGTTCCACGACATCTGTGACAAAATCCTTGTCTTAATTATTATTCTACTTGTAGAGCATGAGATGCTTAGTGGGCTCTTGCATTTCTTCCTCCCAGAACCCTCTTGAAGTCTGAGATGGGCACTTATGGGCAGTCCAGAGTTGGGGGAATTGAGAGTTTCACCTGACCTGAACCCTCTAAAGCACAGGTGGGCAAACTTTTTGGCCTGAGGGCCACATCTGGGTATGGAAATTGTATGGCAGGCCAAGAATTCTCACGAAATTGGGGGTTGGGATGTGGGAGAGGGTGAGGGCTCCGGCTGGGCATGCGGGCTCTGGGATGGAGCTGGGGATGAGGGGTTGGGGGTGTAGGAGGGTGCCCTAGGCTGGGACCAAGGGGTTTGGAGGGCAGGAGGGGGATCAAGGCTGGGGCAGGGGGTTGAGCACAGGAGAGGGGCAGGGGTGCAGACTCTGGAACTGCTTGAGGTAAATGCTGCCCTGGAAGCAGCGGCATGTCCCCCCTCCGGCTCCTATGTGGAGGTGCGGCCAGGCGGCACTGCACGCTTCCCCATCCGCAGGTGCTGCTCCTGCAGCTCCTATTGGCCGTGGTTCCCAGCCAATGGGAGCTGTGCTGGGGGGAGGGGGCAGTGTGCGGAGCCCCCTAGCTGCCCCTACGTGTAGGAGCCAGAGCGGGGACATGCCGCTGCTTCTGGGAGCTGTGCGGAGCCACCGCAAACGCAGAGCAGGGCAAACCCCCGACCCCGCTCCCCGGCTGGAGCGCCGGAGTGGGGAAGCCCTGGACCCCGCTCTCCAGCGGGAGCTCAAGGGCTGGATTAAAACATCTGAAGGGCTGGATGTGGCCCCCGGGCCGTAGTTTGCCCACCCGTGCTCTAAAGTCTGCAGAAAGCACAAGCTCAGCAGGCAGAGGGGGTGGGAACCAGGTAATAAGAGCCAGGTCACACTCCATTTTTATATTTATTTAAATAGTGTAAAACTTTATTGTTGTGGAGGCATGGCAATCCATTAGTTTCCAAGCACTTCACAACTGAGTGAGATCTTCCTCACTGATAGGGTTCTTCTCTTTATAAACAGAACAAACAGGACATGAAAATTGTGCCTCTGCTAGCCTGTGCATTAATCCTTGCATTAATCCTTCTATGCCCTCTGTCTGTAGCTTTGATCCCTCTTTCTTTAAGCTTTTGTAACACCCAATCTTCAGATTTAGGAGTACTTTTCTTTCTTTTGTCTTGTTTCCGAGTTTTCTTTTGAATCTACTTCTCCCTTCTGTTGAACTCCAAACATGATCCGTCCAGGAAGCACTAGCCAAAGGTAGTTGCAAATACACCTCTACCCCGATATAACGCGACCCGATATAACATGAATTCAGATATAACACGGTAAAGCAGTGCTCCGGGGCGGCGGGGCTGCGCGCTCTGGTGGATCAAAGCAAGTTTGATATAACGCGGTTTCACCTATAACACGGTAGGATTTTTTGGCTCCCGAGGACAGCGTTATATCGGGGTAGAGATGTAATTATCAGACCAGGGGAACCTTTTAGAGAGACAGAATCATAAGAGGTACCGTGTATTTTCAAAAGCGGTCTCCAGTCTCAGTATCTCTTATTCTTTTCTCATTCTGTAATTTAATGTACTGTTCATTTTATTTTTTTCTGACCTCTGATGATTTCAAAACAGCTGAAAGGGTTTGTGTTTAAAAAGTTTCCAAACTGTTTACTGGCAGCGAGATCAAGCATGGAAAATATCAGCCCAAGAGGTAAATATTTTGGAAAGTTATGAGCATCTGAAAGCTAGCTGTTAGAATGCAATTGTTTTTGCAGCTGGGACCACTGTAGTAGTTTAAAATTAAATTATTATATACAGTGTAGTCATAATGAGCTCTGTGTGGCTTGAAAGCTTGTCTCTCTCACCAATAGAAGTTGGTCCAAAAAAAGATAAAACTAAATTATGTCATGTAAAAGACCACAGTACATTTTGTAATGTATTACCTTTGCTTTTTTTTTTGTTTTTGTTAATTTGCAAAATTAACTCATTAGCAGCCAGTCTCCGAATTGTCAGTTTGAGGTTCTTCGTTGTTTTGAATCTGGTCATAAAGGCTGGGATTTTCAAAGGAGCCCAGGAGAATTAGACAACCAAATCCCATTGAATTTCTGTGGCATTTGGACACTTAAATCCCTTAGAGTCCTTTGAAATTCCCAACCAAAAATATTGACTTTTTGATAATTCCATGGGTATTTCTCCTGTAGAATATCGGGGAGGTTTGTATACTGTCATGATTAATTTACCCAACTGTGGTAAATAGAAAAGAATAGCTATTTAGTGCAAAATTCTATCAGCAGATCCACACAAGCAGATTTTTAAAAAGTGGTGAAGTGATGTCTGTCCTGTATAGAGAGATTTGTCTGCAGCGCTAGAAGATTATGCAATACCAGAAAATGTGTGCAATTCCATGTGTACTTGTCTCCCAGAGTTTCTAATGTTTGATTGGCCCGAAGGAGTCTTTGTTTATCACAACGTGCCATTTATTCCTCCTCTTCTGATTATTCAGACTTATTTGAAGAGCGTAAAGTATTCTTACTTAACTTGGAATTTCTCTGGAGGCTCCTTGGATAGGTAAATGCTAAAGGGAGAATATTTTTGTACACACTTGCATAGCACTGTAAAAGACTGTAGCACTGAAAAACATTATGGGGATTTGTAATTGTCCCTGGAGGATTTTGATGCTATAAACAAATTATATTGGCAGTTTGTGACAAGTATCCTTTTCTCATACTTTTTACATAACACCCATTTTCCTGAGGGCAGTACGCTGACTTTTTAACATCAGTAGATCTTCATCTTAATAAGAAGTCTGTGTGTATGTGTAATTATTTTAAATTGTGTATGTGTGTAAGGCATATGTTATCCCTTATAGCCTTGGTTGCCTAGCTCACCACTCCCTTTTCCAGTAGTTTATGACTTCCTTCAAACTTTTTGGGAGCAGGAGTAGAGGTAGATAGTTTACTGCCTGGAAGAGGCAAATTAGCTTACTGATTGCAATTGCCTTGGTATGCTACTGTTTCCTGATGCATCAGATCTTGGTTAATTTAAGAAAAATAGTATATAAATGTTCTCTCTCATACACTGTGATACTCGTTACTACAAGATGCAACTCGCATATCTCAGGTTGTGGAAAAATGGCATGATATTGTAACGTATTGTATTATTTGAGAAATAGTATCTGAGCAATAAAATGCAGTCTTAATGCTTGACCCACATTGCACAAGCGAACTGCATTTAAATCACATTAGCCCGAGCTAGTTTTAAAACTAAATCAGCAAACACACATTTCTCCTCGCTGTAGATGAAGTCGCTGTTTAAGGGCAGATATTGAGGCTCCTGTTTTCTCCCACTCACCCGCTCTCTCTCATATACCTGTATAACTCAGGTGGTAGTTCATCATTTCACAAACCCTAAACAAAACCGTTACAGCAGTCAGTTTTTTTGTAGCTACTTGCTGTTTGCCTGTTTTTTTTAAACAAGTGATAGTGACTGAAAGCACTTTATCACAAGTGCTTTTTTATTTCAATACTGTATAGCTTTTGATTAAAAAATTTTGTTTTGTGCTTATTTTAAATTCTGATGTCTGTAATTTAAGCATCTAGATGCCACAGTGAAAGGCACAATACAAATTAATAAACCCTTTGTTTAGTTTACTGAAAGCAGATAGCTTTGTGATTCAGATGACTACTCATATATAGTGAAATCACGCACAACAGATGACAAGTTACCGTATTGTAGCGTAACAGGAGAGTCAACATGTCAGAAAATAGAAGCTTTGACTGAACTTCAGATAAGGCCTAAAGATGGCTGGATTAGTGTCAACAGCTCTCTGGCTGTGGATCAGATTGTAAAGTTTGTGCAATAATCAGTGTACGTACCTCTTAAAGAAAGCACCAGCTCCAAGCACTTTGTCACACTTCACTAATTTAAATAGGGATAAAGTGTTCTCCAGATTTCATAATATGAGAGGTTTAGTCTGGCAGACAACAGTTTGTTCTGTAAGGTTGTTGTAGAGGAGTTGTGGAAACAAGGTAGGAGGGCAGGGTCACTAATCACTAGACCTATTCCTGCTCAGATGCAGAAATACACTCCCAACAGTTATGACTCCAAATCTCCCCTGCTCTAATACCGTTAGGATTCAGCTGTGAAACCATAGAAAAAACAAACTGCCTTTTCCCATCCCTTCTAAAACACATCTGGGAATGAAGTTGGTGTCTCCCAGAATGCACAGGGAAGACATCTCTCCTTTCATTTTGTTTGTACAAGCTCGTAAAGATATTTTTATGGAAGTTTAGATTTTCCTTTTGCACCCATGATCCAGTGATTTCAGAGATTGAAAAGTCTGCAACCGATTGTCAGTGCAGAAGAGTTCTGACTCCTATTTAATACATGGCCTGATGAAGATGTTGCTTTATTTCTAGTTTTTAATAAACTCTAGATTTGATTATCATCTTCTTTTTTAAAAAAAAAAAGTGTAATAATCATCTGCTCTTTCCCAGTTTTTCCTTGTGGTAGTGAGACTACCTCTGGCCCTCCTTCAAAGAAACTGATCTGGCTGGATAGGCAGGATGCAGACCTTGGATATTTCATGGTTGACTACTACTACTCTTTCCATTTTGGTTTCTCCCAAGATTTGAGATCTAGGAAGAAGCCTGTTTCATTTCGTCTCTGAGTAAGAAGTGAAAGAAGATTGCAAACTTTAAAATATATATAGCTGCAGTCTAGAAAAACTGCATGACATGAAATTTAGAGAAGTTCCCTGCACACAGACAACTCTTGCTTTACAAGGATTTACAGGTGCTGTAATATATATTTAATTGATTTTAGTGTGAGTACTTTTCAGGCTTGTGCACCCAGTTTTATTAGAGTGACATTTGTTAAATAAAACTGATGTGATAGTTATCTGACAGAAGTTAGAAGAAAATAAGTCCAAATTTAGCAAACCCTAATATTAATAACAATGTTTTCACAGTTAAAAGAAAAAAACATGTTGTGTTTGTTTCTCTTTAAACATTTTTGCTGCAGTACTTTAAACCCAAGATTGAAATTTTATTGATTTTTATATTTTAATTGTGAAAACCTTTCTATTAATGAGTTTTATTGAACTTTTTATTTTGCCAAACCTAAATTTTGGGCTGTAAGTTGCTAAA